TTTGCGGTGGAGAACGCACGGGTCCATTTGGCTATGGTGCCTGTCAGGCGTCTCCGACTGGTGTGTTTACCGCGTCCCAAAAAGTGGTCCCTCAATTTCCTCCTGGTGACGTCATAAAAGTCTCATGCCGTCGCCGGTCGCGATCCTGGCGGTGTACCAGCAGCGGTGGTGGATGTAGCAGACGCCTGTCGTGCTGCAGGTCGCTTTCTGGTGTGACAGTCCCCGGAAACTACAGCAGCCAGAAGTTGAGACACATTGACGACAGCGACACTCGCGTTCTCTCGTGCTTTTTGCCAGCATTTCTACGCCCAACCGCCAGGATCGCGACATGCGACAGCATGACACTCCGGTTTCGCTGCCGTCATTTGTTGCCACTTCGGGAGCCCTTTTGATGTATGGGCAGCATTGGACGCTAAACACACCAGTCGGAGAGGCTTTAGAGGCACCATAATTTCGCGGTTGTGCGCTAAGTGCGATGACGTGTCACCACAATATAGACATGGCTCATTCAGAGTGGGTTCGAAATTCCGATAACACTTCCTGGTTGCCAGACTCGCTGCGGTGCTGGCTAGATTGGCGACTCTTAGCCCTCCTTTCGACGCAAGCACCGCGCGTGGTCACCTATTATCCCTTACAAAAATATTTCAGGCAGCCTATAGAAATCGTATCCAACTTTTGACGACTCTTTCAACTTCCTATCCAGTCACGAAGAATGCGCAATATTCAATGAACTTTTGAACCGCAGTGTATAGTGCACATGCATGCGATAGAAATGTGATAGAAATTTTTGTCACCATAATTTTATAGAACTTCTATAGACTAGAAGCGATAAAATTAGATGCAGTGCAGAGAATCGACGTCACACAGAGTTGGAGTCTCCTTGCGGAGGCTGCTCTTTTGACTCCGTAAAAATTGCATTCAATGTTTCATAGTTGGCGACGCAATTCACCAACATTTATAAAGCACACATGGAATAAATTATAAACAAAAAAAAAACAACAACAACATACTTGAAGTATTTTTATATTATGGGATATTCCTCGTTCAAGTGATTGCCTTCTAGGGTGTATATAGTGTTGATGCAGTGAACACTACTGAACTACGTTTGTTATGAGTGCTCCGTGGCGTGTTTTTTTATATATGCGTATGGGCACACGAAAAGTGGCAAGGGCATGTCTCCATGCATGTTTCGTTGCAAACCTAATAATTATACTCAAATATATATTTTCTCTTGCGAAGAACTGATCTGTCACTGTTAGAAAGGGGATGCAAATGTTGTTGATATCTCTATCTGCTTTCTAAACAATTTCTTTATAATTTCTATCTAGAAAACATACAGAAAAATTCCGAAAAGCTGTAAACTGTGGATAGGAAAGCGAATGCATTTTCTTTATAATAACTATATTCTTTATATGCTATTTTCTCACAAAATTTTGTAGAAACCAGATGAATGTTTTTCTAAAGAAAAAGCTCTTCCGTAGCGCTACGGACCATGTTTGTGACAAGTAGCTAGCAAAAGGCCTGTTAGAAAAGTATTTCTTTACTCGATTTGGTTACCAGAAACAAGCAAAAATAAACCCAGGCATTGCTCGACGATCTTGTTTCCCAACAAGAGCAATAAAAAAATCATATTTTTTTATATACATTACTAACCCCGCATATCGATAACATCGGCCACTTTTGAGTTAAGGCCGGTTTACACATACAACGGAACGCTCAGTTAGCGCCTCATAAGCGCTGGAAACGGCTCTTTTGTGGCACCGATTTGTGCGTAACGTAGCGCTCAGTTAGCGCTTCAGAATGGCTTCAGTGAGCGCTCGGTTAGCGCTTCAGCAGGGAAGCGCTCTGGCGCTCCATGTGCCGTGCTTGCTGCTGCGGAGCAGCGCGTGCACGGCGATTCCGTTGTGGTTGTTTTTGCTTTGGCATTGAAAGAAGAAGTAAAAGAGCCGTTCTCCAAGCAAACGGTCGGGCAGACGATCCATAGTCATGGACTTTCAGCGACTAATTCATTGGATACTACCTCATCGCTTTCAATACGACATGCGCGACCCTTGTTTTATAGATACACCGTTAAAAAATTATCACCTTTGATAAAGTTCTGCGTCTCTGTCCCTCAGCCAGGGAACAAGGTTCGCCGGGTAGCCGTCGGTACCTCGGTGCGAAACATTTCGCGCACCCAGATGGCTCTTCTGGGCGTTAAGCCGTCCACACCCATATGCACTAATTGCGTACGTAAGAGCATTTGTCGCGTTTCCATTTCAGCGTCCCACATGTCTGCCATGGTGCTGCTAATGCACACCCAACCACAGGAATCGGAACCGCAGTGCACGCGCTAATCCGCAGCAGTAACTGCGGCACAAGAAGCGCAAACAAGGTGCTACAAAATCGCTAATCGCGCACTATATTAGAGCTAAGTCACGCTCTAGGAAGCGCCATGCCGTATATGTGAACAGGCCTTTAAGGCCCGTTCACACGATGCATTTTTCTCGCGCATCTAGTGTCGCGAAATGTAGTTTCGCGAAATGGTTGCGCCGCCTGAACGAGTCCGAAAAGGACGCGCGCATCTAAAAAAAGTTGCGCGCACACGTTGCGTCTCGAGCGAGCTTTTGCTGAAACTTTGCCGAGTCCTGTCAATCATTCTGAGGGCGCCGCCAGTGGCCGCTCAGAAACGCTCTCACGTGGCCTTTGAGGGGGGAGCGAGCTGTTTGAGAAGACCACTTCACTGCCGGTGTTGTAGCCGAGCCAAATCCGAAAAAAAACCGAAACCACCAACGATGGATACTGCCGGTGCTTCCGCAAGCACGTCAAGCACCACTGAAGGAAAAGTGAGTAGCATAACGAAAAAAAAAAAAATCTAGCGATGGACGAAGACGATTACCGGGAGTTGGCGAGATTAGAATAGTGCTCATAGCGTTGTTGTCGCGACGATACCGTTGGATAAGACACCATCAAGTAAACTGAAACCAAGTTTGCTTTGTTTACAAGCGAACGTGAAACCATGTGCGCTCTCTGAAACAGTTGGCACAGTAAACTCAGGGCAGACATGGGCGCCGAGAAGTGACCAGATTGGGCACGTAGCGTTTCTATAAATGCCATGTGCATTGATAGGAGCTTCGGCAATGAATTGGCTGCGTACGGGCTCGGCGCCGGCACATGTCCTGCACGTACAGGTTGCCGCCTCAATCGGCTTGGCGCACACGCGAGATCGCTCCAAGTAGTGCATTATGTGAAAAAAAAATTAAAGTGAATTGACTGCATAAAATACGCAAAGTAGGTCCCCAGATAAATAGCGATCTGATTAGGAGCTCACTTAAAACGGTGCGTCAGTGCGTGTTGTTGTTGCACGTGAAGCGGTACGTGTGAACGAGCACATTTCGCAAAACTTGAGTGTCGCGAAACTGTTGCGCGCCTAAAAAATGCATCGTGTGAACAGACCTTTAGTGTAGAGAGAACGGTAGAGCTCCTGTTCCGCTCCCGTTGCTCCCGCGCTTCCACCATTGTGCTAGCCCAAGCAGACATGTCGACCTCGCCACACCCACCAGTGTACCACTAAAATCGAGCTGCGACTGCCCAGGTCACTTCCCGATGAGTGCGCGCGACGGCTTCGTGAGAGGCGCACGTATAGGCACTGTGCTAGATCTGCAGGGTGCCCATAGAGAATCCGACGCAAGCTTTGAAGAGTCCCTATCAAGAAAAGCCCTCCTTCGAGCTAAATACAAAACCTCCAGCCAGGTCTTGTCTAAAGTACACTTCCTATCTAGTGTCTAGGAGCCCCCCCCCCCCCCCCCCCCCACACACACACACACCCTGATAAGCATATCCAGGCCTAAAAGGGTACAGGAGATTGCAGCTATATTCATTTGCAGCCGGTATAAGAACTGCCAGCGTGACTAGTGGCATTAGAATGCTCTACTGCGTTTGATTTTCGAGTTAAGCCTTCACTACGATCTCTTTAAATCGTGCATCGTCATGGCGGCCTCTGGGGGTTTGCCATCTCCGGCTACGCCAATCAGGCGCAAGCAAAAAGCGTTTGCTTCCCGCCGGTGACGTCACGTTTGGATGGCGGGGAAAGCAGAGAAGAAACCAGGAAAAACGAAGTCTTGGTTTCGCTAGCGAATTTTTAGAACGCAGCTCTTAGGCGCCCGTTTCCGGCTTGAGCGGTGTCGGCGTCGCCGTCGGCGTAACCAAGGTCACCCCAAGGTCACGTGACCCCCCTGGTCACGTGACCTCCAAGGTCACGTGACCCCCGAGGTCACGTGACCCCCAAGGTCACGGGACCCCCCGAGGTCACGGGACCCCCCCCAAGGTCACCCCCACGTGACCCCCCAAGGCCGCCCAAGGTCACGTGGCCCCCTCCCTGAGGTCACGTGAACCCCTCCTCCCCGAAGTCACGTGACACCCTCCCCCCCCCCCCCCCCCCGAGGTCACGTGACCCCATCCCCCCGAGGTCAGGTGACCCCCCGGAGTATATTAAAGAATGAGGGGAGGAGGAGGAAAAGGAGGAGGAGGAGGAGGGCTCTACCCTACCCTCAGTACCCTTCTCTCCTCCTCCTCAAGAGCTGCGCTCCAATTCGGCGTTACAGGGAGTTGTAAACGCCTTCCACTTTTTTAATTAACATAGAGCGAATAGAAGGGACGACATATCCTTTTGGAATCAGGAAGCTATCCGTATTCAAATGATGCAGAATGGAGCGCATTAGACATGAAATACAGAAGACACGAAAGAGGATGCACTTACAGGGAGAGAGCCGCGTCTGTTGTCCTCTCCCTATGCATGAGTAAATCCTCTCTAGCGTCTTCTCTACAGAAATGATGCCTCTAGATTAGATTGCCCCAAATATCGCCAGTTCGTAGATTAATCTTTTTGTATTTTTTTTTTCATATTTTGATGCCGGTAATGTCATGTTCTGAAACATTCCCATTTTATCCCCCCCACCTGCGTCACATTCTGACAGAGCTTGGGCTTTTAGCAATTTGTAGTTCATGTATGCGGGTGAAAATACACGACTTTATTTTCTCGATCGAACACGGCAGATAAGCGCTGGTAATAGAATTTTAGGAGATCATTCTGATGACTCCGAAATAGACACCCGATACTCCGCCAACGCCTTTCTGCACGCATCGTATCGTTAGCGGGACACGTTCTGGGGACCAATCGGAACCATCTACTAAAACCCACTAATGTTAGACCTAGGTTATTCCACATTGTTTGCTGGGAACAACATTGGCTTAGATTCACGGTTAAACACCAAGTCAGCGCCCACGCGATGCTCCGAAAAGCTTTTCTAGTTGATTCTTGAAAGAACTTTCTTACAAAAAACTTATACCCATTCCGAATTTCGTTACTGCGGTTTTGTTTTGGGTCATAGTTTCCATGAATTTCAGGAACACTCGTAGGGAGCGCGTGTCGGCGTCGACAAAAGTTCCCGATCCCCTGGAGTATAAGAAGTCGTAGAAGACGTAGTCACAAATTCCATCCTTTGGGCCCACAGTTGTAGGCTTCATCAAGTTCCCGATAGTGCAGACGATGGGCGTCTTGTCCGAGGGCCAAGCTGCAAAATAAGATGGAAAGAATTACCATTTACTTCCGAATACTGAGCGCCCCCATTACTCCCAAATATTTCACCCATTTACTTTGCGTTTTATCGGAAACGAAAAAAACGTTATCTAAAGAGATTAATATTATTTTTTTAAGGGGGAGGGAGTTATTTAACGGGGCCATGCAACAATTTTTCTACTTTGCGCAAATACCGCTTAAAACGGATCCGTGACGTTAATGAACTATGAAACACTGGTTCGTTTTTCATCCCACGCAATAGAAGTTCCAGAAAAAAAAATAAAGAAAAACGAGTACCGTTCACCCCCTCAACTCGGAGCCAGAACAAGCGGCCACGTGATCTGAAGCCGATCATAGGCCGCCAATGTTGGTCATAGCCACGCGCTGGGGTTGGCGAAGCACAGGACACGCGCTGAGTTCCAGACATTGTTATGGCTCGGCTATTGGCGTCGTTGCAGCGATTGGACACGGGCCACTACCCGAATGCATGTCGAGGCATCGATTGTCACGAGCCCAGATCGAATGTGTACGCAGTCTTCGCGTCCACTGTGTGAGCAGCATTTGAATATCGTCACCGCAAAAGCTCGATGACGCATTCCCGGGGATCTTACTGTTGCCATTGTCCCCACAGACCCGTCATCAAATTTCGCGAACGAGCAATAGGCGGCTTTGGAAGGAGACACTGAAAAAGAAGCCACGCTTTCATCCTTTAAATTCCGCCGCGACGAAGACGCTTCTTGGTCAGTGGTGTTGCATTCAAGTATTCTAGGGTCCCATTAGGGCCAGGAAGCTGGTGTAAAGTAAGAATTATTCCCACTCAATGTCGTTGCACAACCCCTTTAAAGAGAACTGTTGTGGAAGTGTTGTGGTTTCTAATATATCCTTCTTTTTGTTTTTCTTTGATCTAAAATTATGAACAATAATTTTAACAATGCACCGTTCATATTAAGTGGCGTTATGCGGTTTTGATATTTGAGTACGCTACCACACAAAAATAGTTATATATTTTATGAAAGGGAAAATATAAGATAAGGAAAGTAATCCTACATTTTATTAATTGTGCGAGTATTACCTGTACCAGTATATTTAATGAACTGGTTACTTAAATAGCTTGTAATGCAGAGTATATGCTTTCAACAATTTAGTGCTCATCATAGTGCACGTGTACCTTTGACAGGGAACATTACAGAGTTAATCAGGGAGATGTAGTAATACCGATCCGCGTTTCAACATATTGTTTTTAGGGCTTAAAATGGCTACCCCACCGTAGCCATTTTAAGTTTGTATAAAATGCGCAGGTATTGCTTTCATCTATTATAATATATTATAAAATAATTCAACCGCATGCATTCTCTCTCTTGCGAAAATAATCTATGGGCGTTTATGGAAACCCTATGGTGAGATATAGCCACCTACAGAACAATCTATGTCTTCAAAGCAGTAGAATCTCGACCATTCATATCTCGATAGCCGGATATAAAATAATACGCGTCTAGGACGCTATAGAATCGCGACTATTCAATTTTCTTTAGCAAGATATAGAAACACGCATGTCCTTAATGCTATAGATTTGCGAATATTCAATGTGCTTTCGCCGGCTATAGAGTGGTGTATGTTCTTAAAGCTATAAACTAGCGAGAATGGAACTTTGTTTAGCCCACTCAATGTGTTTTTGTCACCAAAGCTATGGGGATCGGTGGCCGAGTGGTCTAGCGCACACCAGCTCGGAGCACGTGGAGCGAAAGCTTGCGCTGCAGAACCCAGGGATCCTGGGCGCAATCCCCACCCCTGCTTGTTTCGATTTGGATGATCATCGTACCGGCGTGCGGTCGTGTATCTCTACTGCGTGATGCACGTTAAAGACAACAGACTAGGGGTTGTACTGCACTGGCTAAATTTCTTATCTACAGCTGGGAGACAAGTCGCCCCTTGAGGGAGAATAAGTTGTAAGCTGTATAAACATAAACACACCCCAATTTGTTCTCACCGAAGCTATAGGCCTCCGATCTTTCATTGTTCTTTAGCCAGCTATAAGAGGATGTCTGTCTTTCTAGCAATAGGCTCGCGACCGTTACATTTTCTTTAGCCGACTCGAAGGAGTTTGATGTCCTTAGACTATAGACCCGCGACCTTTTTGTTAGGAACGCAGAGGCAGGAAAGTAGAAGAAATTCATTTATGGGCTCGCTCGATGCGAGAATGTTTTTAGTCAGCTTAAAGGTGAGTACCTCGCCAATGCTCCGCGATCAGAAAGGCGTCCATAGCTGCCTCTAGACCTATTCAGTTTTGACGGCTGCTCTCCGTTCGCGTTGCCTTACAGCGGTGTTGATGTCATCTCAATCTTCCGTTTTTTAGCTATTATTCTTCCTTTCTACCTCTTTCAGTGCATTTTTATTGCGTGTAAATATATGTATTTCGCAGCGTTAACGTAGGTGGACCTGTCTATGTCCCTGATATGTTTTCTATTCGTTAATATGTGTGTTGTGTGCTATATTTTTATATGTAATGTTTTTGTGTAAATTTCGTCAGTTCTTGACGCCGGCGTCCAGGAAAATAAAAGCCCTCTTTACGCCGCAACCTAGGTAAGTTACACTCTTGTCATGACAGTCTATCGTGCTATAAACTCGTCTGTTTGACTCGAATGAAGTCTCGAGAAGGCTGTTTTGAATGCTAGGGCACATGTCACCAGGGAAGGCAGAGCCACGACGTAGAACTGGCGACACGAGAGCCGACTTCGCCTCGGTCTGGTCGACCGCGCTCGCTGTGCACAAATCTAAGCATGGCACTCTCTCTCAGCTCGCTGAAGAGGCAAGAGTCTACGCTGTCGTCGCGAGTCTACGTTGTCACCCCGAACTTGTGCGTGGCCATTCGACCACGCACGCGCTCACTTGGCGACGCACGTTGCATTTTTCCCCTTTTTTTTAAGTCACCTCGATTCAATGTGCGACGAAACAAAACAGCAAAACAAACAAAAGTATTGGCAAAATACAGTCCGGTCGAGCGTAGTATGGAAACACAGTTCACAGTCCTATTGAGCGCAGTATCACTTGAGGAAGATGACGAGGACGACTTAAAGGGGTTCGGAAACGTAAATTGAAATGTTCAGATTTCGTTCGGAAATCAGTCAAGCATGACGGATAATAACCGTAAATGATAATCGCACGTTTGTATTTTGAACGATTGGCTATATCGGCTATATTTTTCGTTCCAAACGGTGTACTCGAGCAAGCGCTCGAAGAGAAGCGAACGGAGAGCGCGATCCGTCATGGGATGTCCGGCGCAAACAAAAACAGAAAGAAAAGATTTCCCGCGTTCGTGGAGTAGCAAAGCAGACGTGGTTATGAGCTTTGCCATTGGTGGCGTTGTCAGCGTTGTGGTGGTGTTAATAGCGTCAGCGCGTTACAACCGAGCCGTTCGAAGTACCCGAGGGGTGACGAGCGTGTGGCTGGTCCATGGAGCACGTAGCTTCCACAACACTGTCAGCTTAGGGCTGAACGAGGTGGGGAAAGCGAATTTTGTTCGAGTTTTGAGGGACGGGCTAATCTTCTAGGGGAGAATGGTTGTTTCCGGTTGCACGAACGAGGGTCCGAGAAAGAGAGTCCTCCCTTTCCGTCTTCTTGAACCGTTTGGTACAATACGCGATTTGTGAGTTCAGGAGGAAAGCTCAGAAGGAAAACATTGAAATGCCAAAGAGCGGCGCTGCTCCGAAGGAATCTGCTACGTCACGACTACGTAGCAGATTCCACAACGTTGCTAGGCTACCTCCCAAATAGGCTCCGCATGCATCCACCAGGTGCACATTGAAAGTCGTTTATTTAGCTTTAAAATTAGTTTCCTTGTGCTTTTCAACGGAAGACTGCTGTTTTTGAGGTTAGGGTGCGACATGCAACACATTAAAGTTAGAAAATGAGCGCTGATATTTCGTTTCCCTACCCCTTTAAGATCGTGGAGGGCGGCATGATGAAGTACGTGTTCCGTAGGGCATCACCAGGCCGGCGCAACCGTAGCCTTGGCTTTTGTAACGCGTCCCGGGCTTGCGAGTGAGCGAAGAAGTGAGAAAAAAAGCACCCGACGAGCTAAAAAAAAGAAGACAAAAGTGGGGTTACGTTCGCTTTGGAACTATGTCGTTGTAGCTGCAATATTGGTCACGTTAGTCAGCAACGAATGGTGCAGGAGGCTTTCGCTTTGCCTTACCTCACTTAAATCGCAAAGCATGAGCAATGACCTCGCCGCATTTTTTTTACAGTTTTTCGATTCTGGCCATTCTTGAGCCTAAATGAACGCGACAATTGTCGGCATGGCAACGTCGTTGGAAAGTGGATTGCCTTGACTCAATCGTCAGGGGGCACAGATAGTACCACGGACTACGCGGAGTGGTGTTCGCACATTATAATCGTGATAGCACAGCACCCGAACAGCGCTCACCCACAAGCACGCGCACATAATTGAAGACGTGCTCGGGGCCAACAACCATCCCGACGAAGCCTTGCTCGGGGTTCCACCCTCACGGCCGAAGCCTTGCTCGGCGTTCCACCAGCCTTACCTCCGAAGCCTTGCTTCGCGTTCCTCCAACAACCACACCGCTTCAGTTTAGCTCGGCGGCCCACCAACAACACCGCTTCAGCCTAGCTCCGCGTCCCACCAACAACACCGCTTCAGCCTAGCTCCCGGTCCCACCAACAACACCGTTTCAGCCTAGCTCCGCGTCCCACCAACAACACCGCTTCAGCCTAGCTCCGCGTCCCACCAACAACACCGCTTCAGCCTAGCTCCGCGTCCCACCAACAACACCGCTTCAGCCTAGCTCCGCGTCCCACCAATAACACCGCTTCAGCCTAGCTCCGCGTCCCATCAACAACACCGCTTCAGCCTAGCTCCGCCTCCCACCAACAACACCGCTTCAGCCTAGCCCCGCGTCCTACCAACAACACCGCTTCAGCCTAGCTCCGCGTCCCACCAACAACACCGCTTCAGCCTACCTCCGCGTCCCACCAACA